CACTTTAAGTACCCGGATGATGCACTTAATTAACCGTTAAAAAGAAGCGTTATGTTGGACACTTCACACACTCATTACTCAATTAGATGTTGGATTACTTTATTTTGGATTAAAAGCTAAATTCTCCCACTAGAGTTATTATACCACCTCCCAATGGTAGTTGCAAATAAAATCATGGAAGGTATCATGTGAGGGTTTGGTCAATTGTTTTAGCACGGGACTAAATTTTGAATCCCGCTCCTGCCTGGTTTTAGCCCAAACCCGACCGCTCCAGCTTATGTTCAGCATTTGTTGTACTGCTGCCCGTCCCGTTGTCTACCCGCCGCACCAGTTCCCGCTAACGAGCAGGGGGAGAACAAAACCGAAAAACCACCCAGCTATACAGAGTCCAGACAGCCTATAACAAGCTGTCTGTATAACACACACACACTTAAACACCAAGCAAGTGACACCCACATAGGCATGCCGCGCCGCAGAAAACTGGTCGGGAATGCAAACCACTAATTTGTTTCACTAAATTAGGCAACCGTCAAACATAATCTGGGAAACTGAAAGTAAAAAAAAAAAATTGTGTTCTATTTTGGGCGACACTACATTCATATACTACGCTGTTGAGTGTGTTAGTGCATAAGTACATAGTGTATAAGTGCAAAGTGTATATCTTAACTCACTTGATTCAGATCATCAACTCATTAACAGAGAGATCCTTGTGTGTCAAGTAACCAAAACATACAAAATGTGGAGGGTGGATGTTTGAGGACAGGAATTGGGTGCCACTGGTGTAGAGGACAAAAAAAAATGTTGGCGCACAAAAGTTGTCCTAGAGCTCTGTTATTTTAGCTCTTGGATGTTTTGACAATGTTTTTGGTTCCTTTTCTGAACTTTGAATGTTAGCGACCATTGCTATCTATAGCTTCAGATTTTATGTAAAATATCTTTTGAAGGTCTTACAGGATTGGAACGAAAAAAAGGTGAGTAATAAATAACAGAATTAAATTTTTTTGGAGACTTTACCCTTTAATTTGTAGAATGGGAACCAAGACTTTAGACCTCCAAAAACGAATGATTTGATGGATAAATTTAACGAAATTGTAAATGTTTTAAGATGATCTCTGGCACCTTTGAGAACAACAAATCTTTTTGATGATAATAACTGCCCAAAAAATGATTTGTTAATTTCCCTAATAAAAAAAGAATTGTCGTTTAATTATATTGATATTTGAATTTAATGAAGAAATTCATATTAAGAATAGTCATGATTTCTGCATTCATATTGTAAAAGAACCACACTAGACTATGTGTGGAAGTGGATCAAAACCTTAATTTCAAGGGTCTTGGTCTGTGTTTTCGGTGGGCACCAGTGTTCAAATAGAGTGTTCACACTTATTCAAATCACCCACACAAACAGAGCAATAACTACAGTGTTCAACTTAATCAAATCAAACCTATCAAGTGTGAACACACCATAAGACTCATTAGGGTATATGCACAGCTAGTGTTTTTGAGCAAAAACTTCTGCTGAAAGCTTAATGTGACTATTTTTAATTTCATATGGTTCCTTTTACAGCATCAATGTTGTAATGTAATTAAAATATAATTTATTAAATAGACTTAAGCATCCATTTGGTTGTTAAAGTGTAAAAAAAAAAAAAAGACGAAAAAACGTTTAAGCGCAGGCACCGTTATTAGCCGCAGGCCAGCAAAGAAATTCCATTGAAAATACTGGAGAAAAATTCATTTCCATTTTTTTTAACACATGACGCTGAAAAAAATGCTTTAATGCAGTGCTTCTTGTTTGGTCTGATTACCCACTTTATATTATATCTCATGTCTGTGTGCATATACCCCAATAACTGAATGATCAATTGTTATCATTTACACTTTTTAAAAAAGCTAGAAAAAGATTGTTTTTTGATTAAGTTGATATTTGAATTTGATGAAGCAATTCATATTTAGAATAGTGTACATGTGTATCAGGCAGAGGTTAGACTAGAACCACAACGACATGAATATCAGGTACATACTCCCTCTTCTGTCGATTGAACAGGAAATTGGTTGGTTTGATGTCTCTGTGGATGATGCCAAACTTGTGAATGTGCTTCAAGGCTTTGAGCAGATGATAGATGTAATGCCTCACATCCTCAAAACTTAACAAGCCAACAATATCCTACAAAAAGAAGAAACATTTTTGAGTAGCATCATGCTATTAAATCATTTAGCCTAAAAGCGCGCACACACACAGTGCAAACACTCACCACAAAGGTCTGATGCTCCATGTATGGCATGACTATGACCACGTGATGCTCCTTCCTGAAGCAGTATGTGACTCCCATCACATTTTCTGTCCCTCTGTGGAATGAGATATAATGGACAAACACTCTAACAAAACTCTGAAACCTACATTTGTTCATTCAGAAATATTTTCAATTATTTAGCCGAAATAACATAAAACAAAGGTCAAAATTAGACATTTTCATCATCACTCACCCAGCAACAGTCAGGCACTGGAGCTCAGCAGCGATGCGCACAGGATGACTGGTAGGGATCAGATGTTTCAATGCAAACAACCTCCTTGAACTGTCCGTCATCTGTGCCTCAGCCAAATATACCGAACTAAAAGTACCTGTGTTGATACAGTGATGCAAAAGATCATTAAAGGGAACCTAATATGCAAAAATCCCTTTAAAATTGATTTAAACAAAGTTATATGGCAACAGTCGAACAATATAACCAGCTTCTAATGGCGAACATATATTAATTTTATATTTTATAATCACACTTCATAAATACAGTCAGCAGAAACACTTTGATTGACATTCTCCCTTTGTATGTTTCATCTGAAGGGGACGCCTCACCCACTAGTGACGATATCTCCCTCAGTAGTATAAGTTAGTCTTAATTTTTTTAAATCTGCCACTATGCTGACATATGGGCATTTGTATAAATTTTGTCCGAATTTGTTTTTATTGACAGTGCGAGAAGTAGTTTACTTGCATTTTATAAATCATCAGAAACCATGGTTTCAGCACAAAAAAAAGTCTTTTAATGTATTTTTTTAGCAAAAAATAAATAAATAAATTTCGTAGCAAAAACAAAAAGTAATAACAATAATAATAATAGCAAACCTTCTCCAATCTTATCTATGATGCGAAATATTCGAGAAAGCTGTGGCAGAACTTCATACAGATATGCAATTTCCGTCTCAACATCTCCTAAAGAGAGATAAAACACAGAGTTAATTATTTCAACATACTAACAATTAAATACAGTTAACAATTCCTTTGTAAAGAAACTTAAGAATAAATAAAAATAGTAATGAGATAAACAAAAACAAAACGTACTTAAAAAAACATAGTAACAAAAAGAATGTACTGTGACCTACATCAATTGTTTATAACAGTTAATTAAATGCTGTTATATTTTATTATGTTAAATGTACTATAGTTAAAAAGTACTTATAGTTAAAAGTTAACTGCATAATAAATGTAATTTGATACATTTTATGTTCTTCAGAACACCCTAATGTCTCTAAAATATGATAAAGTGTGTTGCTGAATGTACTGGCAAACATTTGTGGTAAAAAAAAAGTTAAACTTTGATATTATGTTTTTGTGGTGTACTTAATATACTTGATTTGTGTATTTGTAAAGATAATTTGCATTTCAGTGAATTGTATAAATATTCATTTTTTAATGAAATATTCAAAAAGTCTTTACAGCTCATACTGTAAATTATTTAACACTCACTGGAAATTTTGTGTCGACTTCTGCCCTTTTCAACACTGCGATGGGAGCTTCTCTGGACAGTATTTGCTTCTTCCATTAAACCCGACGATTACGAACAGATTTAATAATCTGTCGTGGGAAAACTGTTGGATGTAATTAGATATTAATATTCATAATCAGCTTGGCTGGTAAAGTATAATACTATTTAGACGCTAACTGCATCAAATAAGACGAGAACAATACGAGACAGTAAGGAAACAAAAAAAGCAAGCAAGCAAACAAACAAAGCGTCGAAATGTATCGCGGAAAATAAGTTGTAAAACTTTACCTTTTATTGTTTATGTTTTCTCCAAGTCTGTTATTGTTTATGAGAAACACTGTCTCGGCGGATAAACAGCTGAACTGACGTAAACACTAAACTTACCGCGCACAGTTCAATAGTTAAGTCACGATCTTATTTTGATATTGAACACTAAAAACTTCACCCAATATTAGTTAAACAAACACGACTATATTTTAAAATACCCCACAAACGCTTTAATGTTCTTTTATAGGCACATTTCGATCTTGTTTTCGATGTCTTTCTTTCCGACGGGTTCCAAGTTCCGCGCTAAAACTGAGATGAAGGTCACATGACCGGAACTAAGCCATTTGGGTAAAAATGCATGAACATTTCTTAAAAATAAAACAAACATTGCTATAAATCCTTAAAATGGTCCTATTTCTCTTGTTGCAAAAAAAGTAATATATGTATTGTTTTTACTACACATCTATTTGTTATATTTTCATTGTAATTGTCTGTTGTTATTGCAATAAAAATAAAATTAATTAATTAATTAAACTAAAGTAAATAAAATTATGTTAAATTAAAAACAACACACAACCATGGCTATAACAAATACATTGATGTTGGCATTTGTTACGGATGAAACGAAAAAACCTCTAAAAAAAACGAAATTATACATTTTCTAAATAAAAATATAAATTAAATTCAGTTAAATTTATTAAACTGACACATCAAATACAAAGCTTATTGCCAAATAAAAAGTTTAAATCAAACAAAAATAAAAATGTGGTTCCTTTTCCATTCGAACATAACATTTTTGTTTTAACGCGGAGTATTGTGTATTTGCAAACAAGTAAATTTAAGCATCCCTTTTCAGATAAACTTGAGAAAATCTTGCAACTCTTAGTTGGTTACCATTTGGCATCTTTTGGGTTGTCTTAACTCCACTTTAGAAGGCTTTTATTTTGAAACAACTTTACTTTGGAGGCGCGCTTTTCCTGTGTAAACACTCCACGGTTTTACACAGATGTAGAATGAAGGACGCTGAACATAAGCGTCGGTAAATCTTTGTTAAAAACTATTAAGAGCTTATCATACCAGTTTTAAATAATGGATAAATTCGTTGTTCGGTTGCCGAAGGATGACATGATGAAACAAGAATCAAAACATGAGAGGAATTATAAACAAGCAACGTTGGAGTCGCTTCGGGTAAGTCAATGTCTGTCTCTACCCATCAGTGTCCATCAGGTGAGGTTTTATTCAGGTAAACGTTTGTATGTGTTCTAGAGAGTGGTCGTGATTGAGGACATCGAAAGGTACAAGTCAATCCTGGAACTGCCTGGTCAACCTAAAGAGAACATGATAGAAGCCTTAAAGGAGCTGGACAAGAAAGTGCCCTCTAGAGAAGTGCTGAAGTCTACTAGAATTGGTAAGTAAATAAATAAATAAACACCAGAAACGTCCCTGGCTCAGGGTTTTGTAGAATCTACTCTGAAGGAAAACAAACATAAATAGTGATGATGAAAGGCAACAGTTTGAAATATTTACTACACTTTTAATACTCTATAGAGTTTATTATTATTAGAATATGGATTTATTTTGGGTTGTGCAATTTAATTGACGGAATTTCTACAAATATCTTGTATATTGTAAACTTGCATACTTTTTTTGGTCACACACATAACATGTTTATTTCTCAGACCTTTACATGTTCATGTTTCCAATCTATTAACTTTGTGGTTTTTGGAAAATTGAAAGAAATGTTTTAAAATACTGTTACATACATTCATAAATACATACATTCACTGGCCTCTTTATTAGGTACATTTTATAAGTTCTGGGTTGAACCCCTTTTGCCTTCAGAACTGCTTTAATCCTTTGGCATAGATTCAACGAGGTACTGGAAATATTCCTGAGATTTTAGTCCATATTGACATGATAGCAGCATCATGCAGTTGCTGCTAATTTGTCGGCTGCGCATCGAAGGTGCGAATCTCCCATTCCACCACATCCCAAAGGTGCTTTATTGGATTGAGTTCTGGTGACTGTGGAGGCTATGAGTATAGTGAATTCATTGTCATGTTCAAGAAACCAGTCTGAGATGATTTGACCTTATGACATGACGTGTTATCCTGCTGGAGGTAGCCATCAGAAGATGGGTACACTGTGGTCATAAAGGAATGAATATAGTCAGCAACAACTCTCAGGTAGTATTTATGCGTAATAAATTTTACAATAATTTAAAATAAAAATTAGTTTTATTACTGCATTGCCAAAAAATTTAATTAGATTTCTGTAATGCGTTATACCCAACTCTGATTCCCAGTGAGCCAATTTTAAATTCCTAAATTTGCATCTTCTCAGGACACACTGTGAACAACCTACGCAAGCATTCAGATGATCCTGAAATCAAGTCTCTTGCAAAGGAGGTTTATAAACACTGGAGGACCTTCATCGAGGAGCATGCAAACAAACCTTCCATAGAAGTTCGCTGCGATAAACAGACAGAAAGTTTAAGGAGCAATGCAAAGAAACTGCTCTCCGAAGCCATTGAAATGAAGGTAGTGATCTTAACTAAACATCACACTGTATACCTTATTATCTCTATCTATCTATCTATCTATATATACATATCTATCTATCTATCTATCTATCTATCTATCTATCTATATATATATATATATATATATATATAATTTTTTATTTTTATATATATTTTTTTATTTTGCAGGTGGATCATGAACTGGTGGAAAACATTGAGAGGGAGGTTTTCCACCAAAGCTCTCGTCTTGTTAGCGGTGCATACAGAAGAACTGTGAGGGCTCTCGTCTTCGCTCTCAAACACAAGCCAGAGTTGAGAGTTCAGGTCAAAGATGGCAAATTACCAGTTAATGTGTTTGTGAAGAGTTACAAAAAGAAATCGTGAAGAAGTCAGACACTCTGGACACTTTTAAAAAATGTTGTAATTTAAAAAATATATTTATTATATATTTTTTTAACTTGCAGAAGTATTCATTAGGCTGCTCATTGACTATTTTTACTCGTTTTTTTTTTTTTTTTTATACATTTTTTTACATTTTTTGGGAATGTCCTTTCTATTAAATGCTGCATAAAAGCATTTACAAAAAGAGAACTACTGTGTCAAGTCCTTCTACACTCACCGGCCACTTTATTAGTTACATCTTACTAGAACCGGGTTGGACCCTGTTTTTCCTTCAGAACTGCCTTAATCCTTCGTGGAATAGATTCTACAAGTTACTGGAAATATTTGTCAGGAGATTTTGGTCCATATTGACATGATGGCTCTATTGGATTGAGATCTGTTGACTGTGGAGGCCATTTGAGTACAGTGAACTCATTGTCATGTATTTAAGTTGGAACCAGTCTGGCCGTTCTCTTCTGACTGCTGGCATCAACAAGGCATTTGCACTCACAGAACTGCCGCTCACAGGATATTTTCTCTTTGTTGGACCATTCTCTGTAAACCCTAGAAATGGTTGTGCATGAAATCTCAGTAGATCAGCAGTTTCTGAAATACTCAGACCAGTCTGTCTAGCACCAACAACCATGCCACATTCAAAATCACTTAAATCACCTTTCTTCCCCGTTCTTATGCTCGGTTTGAACTGCAGCAGATCGTCTTGACCATGTCCATATGCCTAAATGCATTGAGTTGCTTTCATGTGAATGTCTGATTAGAAATTTGCGTTATCAAAAAGTTAAAGTTAATAAAGTGGCCGGTGAGTATATTCAGTCACAGAAAAAGTACATTGTCCATTCATTTTTACAGACATTTACATTAACCCTAAACCACAGAACTAGACAGAAAATGAAAACAAACCCAGTTTAAAAAAAATTCAGGTTAGAGGATTCCTAATATTAATACTGTACATTGTGCCTGGTTTTCACTGATATTTTAGATTGTGCCTATAAGAGCACCAGCCACACAATAGCAATTAACATGAGGATGACGGCCAGAACACAGATGCTGATGAAGATGATGTCACTGGTCTCGTGTGGTTCGCTTTTTTTACTGATGCTTTTGTTGTTTGATTGCTCGGCCAGACGGGCCAGTTCATTGAGCCGGTTTCGCTCTTCAGCCGAGATGATGTTGATCATGGCCACCTTCCTCTGGGCATCACACTGCACCTCATACTCCTGAATGTTCTGCTGTGGACCATCAGAAACGTCAATGTACAGCGAGTTCACCAGCATGGTGATGTTCTGACGTTTCTGCAACACAGGATAGGAGACAACAAATTCAGTTTTAGTATTTAGTCTTAAAACTGCTGTATTTGACATTTGCTTACTACAACTGGATTAAACTTAAAGGGATAGTTTACCCAAAAATGACCCATTATTTTCATTCTACAGTATATGACTTTTTTTCTTCCAGAGGAACAGAGTTATGGTAGTTTTACTTCCATGCTTTACAGTACTACGTTCACACTGCAGGCAAATGTGGCACAAATCTGATTTGTTTGCCCACATGTGACCCAGATTTGTTTTTATCATGACAGAATGAATAGCCGAAACTGCATGCAATCTGATCTTTTCGATTCTGATTTGTGCCACTTAAATTTGTGGTATTAATATGTGGTTTTGCAATCCGACCGCAGTGTAAACGGTTATGTATTCCATTCTGGTTTGTGCTGCAAACATCCTCTACTTCCCAGTGGTAAAGCCAAATAGCACACCGGACCGGGCAAATACTTTACCCCCCCAAATGTTCATTACAAATACCACTCAGGGTTTAACACTAAGGATTTTTTTCTACTGTTCCAATCAGGCCTATAGTTCAGATTTTTACTTGCCCTGTCAAGATTTTCACTGGCCCCACCAAAAAAAAAAAAAAAAAAGACAAGTTAACATCTATTTTTTCATCCACATATTTAAATGATGTGTCAAAAATGTCTGTGAATCTAGAATTTCAAAAATGGTAATAAATGTTTTAAGAGGATAATTCAGTGTTATGCAAACAGAAAGAGCAGTATGGAAAATGTGCAGGTATTTTATTGCACTTCGAAATTATTTAGCAAAAGGTGGCCGGCTTTTCAAACTTATGGCAAAGCTTTCGAAATATCACTTTTCGTCCTGTTGTTCTCATGTAAATGTCTGCCTCCATGACGTTAGAAGCAGACATTTTTTTTAGCCTCATAATTTGACGTTGTCGCCATCTGTTCACTGTACTGGTTTGTTGCCAGGCTAAGGAAAAAAATAGCATGCTCAAAACCGAACCAAAAAGCAATATGGTTTTTATGACAACACAGGGAAGGTAGCAGAGTTCAGGTCAAAGATGGCAAATTACCAGTTAATGTGTTTGTGAAGAGTTACAAAAAGAAACCGTGAAGAAGTCAGACAATCTGGACACTTTTAAAAAATGTTATCATTTAAGAAATATATTTATTATATAATTTTTAACTTGCAGAAGTATGCATTAGGCTGCTCATTGACTTTTTTTACTCAAGTTAAGTTTTTTTTAACATTCACATTTTGTGGGAATGTCCTTGTGGGAAGGGTCCATTTACAAAAAGAGAACAACTGTATCAAGTCCTTCTACACTCACCGGCCACTTTATTAAGTACACCTTACTAGAACCGAGTTGGACCCTGTTTTTCCTTCAGAACTGCCCTAATCCTTTGTAGCATAGATTTAGCAAGGTACTGGAAATATTTCTCAGGAGATTTTGGTCCATATTGACATGATAGCTCTATTGGATTGAGATCTGGTGACTGTAGAGTCCGTTTGAGTACAGTGAACTCATTGTCATGTATTTAAGGTGGAACCAGTCTGGCCGTTCTCTTCTGACCTCTGGCATCAATAAGGCATTTGCGCCCACAGAACTGCCACTCACTGGATATTTTCTATTTTTCGGACCATTCTCTGTAAACCCTAGAGATGGTTGTGCATGAAAATCCCAGTAGATCAGCAGTTTATGAAATACTCAGACCAGTCTGTCTGGCACCAACAACCGAAACACGTTCAAAGTAACATTCTGATGCTTAGTTTGAACTGCAGCAGATCGTGCGAAATATCACTTTTCGTCCTGTTGTTCTCATGTAAATGTCTGCCTCCATGACGTTAGAAGCAGACATTTTTGTAGCCTCATAATTTGACGTTGCCGCCATCTGTTCACTGTACACAGGGAAGGTAGCATTCGAAGACCAATCGGGCCAGTAATGATCCCGTCTACTGTCCCAAGCATCTCTCACGCTGGTTCTGGGCCATCGGGCAGTTATTGTTGAGCTGTGCCACCATAATAAAATTGCAGAAAAAAAATGAAATGCATAGGCCTACATGTTTTAACTTCTCCCCCAACCCCCCGCTAGCCAGCAGGTACACACACACACAAGTGAATGCTGCTCTATCATTGGCTGTAGGTGATCACCGATGTTATTTTCAGTCAAAACTCATTTCACACAGCATGATTTGAATCTAGCACCGGTTTGCCTGTGATTTCAGGCATTAGTCAGCAATTTCTCAAAACCTGTCAAATCGGGGCTAAAATCATGCAGTCTGAACTAGGCATAAAGCTCACTTCCATCCGGGTCACGGCACCAGTGTAAGCACACCGGTCCTACTGCACCCAACCCGCTCTGAGCTGGGATCGAACTAGCAACCTTTCGCATGGGAGTCGGTTGCTCTAACAAAGAGGCTAAATTTACACATAATTGTACATTTGCACATGCGGCTCAGTTTAGGATTGTGATCTGTTCACATTGGAAATCTAATATTGGCCACATTTATAACAGCAATGTGAATGAAGATTTTTATTTTCTAAACCTATGTAAAAACACATTTAATTGGGTGAGTGGAGGGCCTTAGGAACCTGCCATTATATGTCTTTGAAAACCGGTGATAGGCTAAAGCAAAGAGGTCATAAAAGAGCACGAGAGAGGACTTGGGGATACAATAAGAACCATCTGTGTCAGAAAAGCATGAAATGTATACAACATATGTTAAAACGGTCATGTATATTTGACAAGACACATACTGTATGGGAGGGAAGAGTCCAGTTTAGGGGCTCTATTTTGACGGTCCATGCGCAGAGCGCAAAACGCAGGGCGCAAACGCTTTCAGGGTGTGTCAGAATGCATTTTTGCTAATTTACGGACCGGAAAATCTGCTTTGATCCGTGGCGCATGGTCTAAAAGGGTTGAGTTTATTTTCTTAATGAGTTATAGGTGTGTTTTGAGAATAAACCAATTAGAGTCTTATCTCCCATTCCCTTTAAGACCCAGCTGCGTAGCGCCAAGAGCGCATTCTCTATTTACAGGACGCAAAGTAAGTCTAAGTGAAAAAAAATTAGCATTTCACAAGCAAACAGTTAACAGTTTTTTTCAACAGAAAACTGTTAAACAGAGCATCTACTGCATGAGAATGAGAGATAATGGAACTACTTTCACTTTCGCTCTTGGATAGGGAAACCTTTACACAGACATCAATTAGTCTATAAATAATTAATTGCGTTTGTTAAGCACAAATATTCGTTTCAAAACTATTTCTAAATTCAGTTCTAATTTCCAGCAAACGAATAAATAAACAACAATAACGAAGTGTGTTCTAAAACCAGAGTTGTATCCTAAAACACATGCAGTACCCCATATGATCTAAAACCTGACAGGTGGGCAAATCTAAGCTTGTTTTTAATAAAACAAATATAAATATGGATATAATAAATAATACTGCAAATAATAATAACATTATACAAAAGCAAATTGTTATGTATGAACTGAAAAAGCCTCCCAAGATAAAGAAGGCATAAAAGCAGTGATTTTTCATATTTATGTAGGCTAGAAAATAATATGTTTTGCAATATTTTAATCTTTATATTTATATCCTATATCTATTCTTATTATATCCTATATATATCCTTAATATTTAAATTTTTTCATATGTAAAGATATTTGCCTATTGCTCTCTTGTGCGTATTAAGCAGTGTGTAAGCGAGGCACAACTCTGCGCTGGAGTTTAGACCGGGTTTATTTTGGTCTAATGAAAAATCTATTTTAGTTTCTCAAAATAGCTACGCGCTGTCAGTGCGCCTCAGAACGCCTTCCTTTTTAGACCAGAATGCCTGTGGGTGCACAAATGAGCGCTAATGCATTTGCTAATTAAACAGCGTGGCGCAATGCCTCAAAACGACTCTTGCGCCAAGCTGAAACTACCAAACAAG